CTCACATGTAGGCATAATTTTTTAAATAAAAATTCAATGTATTTTCTAGAGCACATCGAAGATTGAATCACGACCGTCAGATTATCCTTGGCCCACTCATCATCAATACAACTTAAAAATGTTCAAACATCACCAAGCCTACAAATCCAAACATCAACGAGCCAATCACCATTCGACATATCAAAAACCCCTCCACGTGTCAGCCGCCTATTCCACCGCCTCAACGACCCTCATAGACTCGACCACAGGGAAACCAAACCCTCTTTTAATTTGCATTGATACACTTGCCACTCTGATAAAACAAGTTACCATATACAAACGCGGGAGAAACCCAAATTTGTTCAACTTTGGTACTCTGGGCGTATAAATATCTCTGTCTTTTTGCTCATCTCTGCTTCTTTGCTCCTCTTTACACTCTTTCTCCCTGCCATTTCTCGTGTGCTTGAAGAGCGCGAATGGATTCTCCGTCGTCCGTTTTGTCATCCGACGACGCCACAGCCGTGAAATGTTCCATCTGCATGGAGGGAGTCTCTGACAACTGTGGCCGCACTATCGTCAAGCTTCAGTGCTCTCACTTGTTTCACCTCGGTGAGCTAATTTTCATACCATTTTTTTCGCATGCACACCCAGTTTATTTCTGACATTTCAATCAAGCTGAGTTTGAAGAAGAATCAATGAACAAAAATAACCGTGATGTGTCAAATGAGAAAAAAGCGTGACCAAAAAAAAAATCATTTTCTTCAATTTAATTTCCTTTACTTTTGAACAATATTTTTTTATTTAACTAAAAATTTTCCTAATGTTGTGTATGTGTATCCTTTGTATATTTATAGGATATCGATTTTGACACTCCTCTTTTAGCGGTCATCACAACATGTTAAAAATTCCAGTTTTTGGGATTTGCTATATATATACACACACATATACTTGTGTATGTAAATATAACTATGGAGTGGGAGACTTTAGATGCGATCCCTAACTACTAATGTTATTTTATTGAAACTTTGGTGGTTTTCAATTTTTGATCCAAGTCCCTGACATTAATGTAATAATGTATTTCTATTTGGATTATTATATTTTAAAATTAAAAACTGAAATTTGTGGTTGTTTTATATGAATGAGATTTTAATTAAAATTCATAATGTATGAGATTAAAAATATTAAAGAATAAATTATACTCTCTAACCAAAAAATTATTGTACCAAAACATGAGTACATTTGTCAAAAACACAAAAAAATAAAAATAAAAATAAAAATAAATAAATAAAGGCTTAATAACATTATTAAATTTCTTCCATTAAACTTGAATGGATACATTCTTTAATCAATGAATGAATTTTATATAAAAATGCGTACATTTTATATTAAAAAATGATACATTTTACATGTAATAAGTCTGTGTATTTAAGAATGGGCACATTTAAGATTAAAAATTTGAAAATCATTTTATAAAAAATTAATGGGTACAAACTTATCCTTTTTTTTTTTTGGGGGGGGGGGAAATGTTTTGAATTGAAAATTAATTAGGAGTTTAACAAGGGTGTGAGCATTAAGATCCTAAATCAATTACTAATTTTTATTTCAAAAAAATTATGTAACTGACATATAAATTAATTAATATGTTAATGTTAGGGAACAAATCAATCAATGAACATTAGTAATTAGGGACCAGATACTAATTTTTCCGTATGGAATTAATATTTGTTCACAATTATTGTTTTGTTATTTCCTGAATGTGTGTTGATGCTGGAACTACCGACACTACGAGTTCAATAGTCAATGTCCTGAATGTGTGTTCATGAAAACCAAGGCTATCTGTGTTGTTTAAATGTGGATCAGGAAAACACTGGAGGATTTCGAAAAATCGGGTTGTCCGAAATTTGCTTTGCGATTCTGTGTGCCTAAGTTGTTCGAGAATCGGCTGTTTCAAAAGCATTGATGTAAACCTTAGAACTCAAGGGTGTTTAAATTGAGTTAATTAATAGTTGTTGGTTTTCTCACTAAACTTGGTTGGAGCTATTTCAAATGGCTTTTGGTCTAAATGTAGTGTGCTGGTTTATGCTTACCATTCATATGCTGGTTTATGGCTTTTCTCTTCAGATTGCATTGGTTCTGCATTCAATGTAAAGGGTGTCATGGAATGCCCTAATTGTCGCGAAATTGAGAATGGCGAATGGAGGTACTATGTATCTCGTAGCCCTGACCGTGAGCTCGACCTATCTGAGGACGAGATGGATTATGAGGACAGTCCTATCGAGTTCCTTGACATGGTAAAAGTAATCACAGCATTTATCAATGTTGTTTTTTTTCTTTCTTTTCTTTCAAATCAAACAAGCTTCACAGAAGTTGTAAAATTTGAGTGAATCGCGAGTACGAGCCAAGATACAATACGATGTGCACACCCCTGCAGAACAAGATGCGATAACTAATGCGCGTAGTTTATAAATCTGTAAATAGATAAAACCAATTTATATTGTTAGACTGTAAATCTCATCCATTTCGTGAGTAGCATTGTCCATTGCACACCATACCTGGATGTTTAATGCTCTTTGTACAAATATTTCTTAGTTCGTAAATACGTTTGTGGATGTTTCAGGGGCAACAGGGAACCATGCTACGCCGTTTCCATCATGGTGAATGGTAAGCACTGTTTCGACACTCCAAGCAGTTTACTGAACTTCACAACATAATTAGTGCCTCTGGATCTTTGCCTTATATATGTATGTTTCAAACCTTGTAGGGAAACGGGATGGTTATCGCCTACCCGTCACGGTAAGTTCATCTTCTTTTGCTTTCACCTTAAGTTCAAATTATCAGTTGATATAAAACTAGTTTCACGACAGGCTCAGAACCACCCTTTGAAGCGGATTTGCTTGACCCATATCCGGTCTTTTCTGGTAATCCTTATACCTACAATCAATGGACTGGCCTTCCCGTACCCACCGACGTATTTCCTTCGAATCCTTCCCGGATTGACTGGGGACCCGAACCTTTAATTTGTGATAGCTGTACCAATTTGTTTTCAACTGGTGACTATACTGGCGGTGCTAATTGGTCTTCATATCCATCGGCAACCTTGAGTTCCGGGATTGATTATATTGGCATGCCAAATGCACCATTGGTTCCTCGAGTTGTTGAGGGCGGGTAAGCTTTCGATATACTCAAATCTCCCAAGTCATATTGAAAACTGCATTGTGTTCATTGTCCTTCATTTTTCTTAAATACCGTCTTGTATCTTAATTACATGCACCTTTTCCGTGTCTCGTGCGTGCTCAAACCAGTTGCGAATCCCCATTTGGTTTCGCTTATCAAGGAAGCAATGATCCCCCTCATCCCAACTTCCCAATGATGCAGCAGCTGCCAACCAATTTCCCTTCACAGGCGGCGCACGCTTCCATGGGAAGATCAAATGACTTGATGCACTGGCTTCGGGCAGGGCATACAACTTCACTTGGACAGACTGCAGACTCCATTCCATTTTCTGTGAACATGAACTCTAGCCTGTCATCAGCAACCAACGGTCATCACCTTGTCCAGGAAGGAAACGGGGTCCAACCTCAACGACTGTTTCCAGAAGATGCCGGTTCTTTAACTTCTTTTTTCCCCGACGTAAATCAGTAAGCCGATGCCAGAGCAGAAAATGGCTTTGTTGCTACCCCTTCAATAACTAATACTTACTACCGCAACTGCATCGTTTGTTTCTATGAGAAGCACAAACTTTCTATATATTATAAAGTTGTTATTTCATGCTTGTTTTATGTAAGCAACCGAAGCAAAAACCAATAAAATGGGGTTTGGTCCGAAGGGGGAATGCCTTGTAAATTGTTATTTCGTGCTTGTTTTATGCAATTCTTTTGTTTTTTTTTTTTTGATACAAACGATATTGAAGGAGGGCTAAACATCATGCCCTTCCGCCATGGACCCTGAATTTGGCCTGTTTATCCCACAAGCCCAAAAGACTGACTTATCACCATTTAAGAGAGTAAAAATGTCATTTTATTTGTATACGAGGAGTTGTTATATCTTGATTAATTCTTAAACGTTTGAAAATTAAGAAATTGAACTTAGGACTGCCTAGGCACTCTACATAGGCACTGGCGGGTCGCGACTCTCACTAAAATAAAAAAATAAATAAGTTTCATTTTGTATTTTATTTTTTCACTAAATTATAAGAGACTTGTAAATATTTGGATGAACATTTGTTATATGTTTGTTTCCCATGTTTTTAATATGCTCTGATACTCTATAATTTATATGTCATTATATTTTTTAATTAACCCCAATACAATATTATGTATTTTTTTAAAGTATAAATATACTTTATTTATATGTTATATAACAAATTTAATTATAATTAAAAAAAAAAAGGGCCTAGGCCACCACCTAAACGCCTAGGTGCAAGACCCGCACCTGCCGTCCTATTAGCGCCTAATGCTTTTTAAAACCTTGACAATGAACAATATACACTCTCCTATGCAACACAGTTTGAATTTCGCTCTCGTAATCTAGATGAGATTGAAATATTGTTCAAAATAAAAAAACTATGGCAATTAAAACCTTTTTTTTTTAAATACAATTATATATTTAGTTTACGGTAAATAGTGGAAATATGGGCAAAACTACATAATGTATCACTCATAATAAATTGATAATAATTTTAAATTAATGTTTACAAGTATAATATAATCATCACATTGATATTAATATATAATGTTTGACCGTAAAATATAATTGTATTAAAGGAAAATTAATAAAAAATGCTTGAAAACTGAGTTTTAACTAAAATGATAAAACTGTATTGTAAGTAAATAATACCATGAATGATTTTTTAAAATAAAAATATCATTAACGTTAAAAGTGAACTGTACTAAAAATGATTTGGTAAGACTCACCTGTATTAAAATAAAAAAGAAATCGACTGAACCTCTGTAATAATAAATCTGACCGAAAAAACATTTGTAATAAGTGGAAAAATTCTTCTGCACCAAGTACCGACGTGGCGTGGTCTAATTGGCCGGATGACCATTCAATGGTGGCGATCAAATGGAGACTCGCTGTTTGAGTCCTCTGCTGTTGGTCCCTTCGTGTCCAAAACTCGGAAACCTTCTCTCTCGCACGCATTCAAGCACTCACCTTTCGAGTTTCCGATCCATTTCTCAGGTAATTGTCTCCGTAATTATTTCAACAATTTGGACCTTAATTTTGTTTCAATGTGTATGCATCAGAATCTAATCTGCATTATTTCCTTTAAATTAGGACAAATTGAATTCACCGATTGGATAATCGGAACCGAAAACGCCCATTTGGGGATTCGAATTGAGATTGGGATTTGTCCAATTCGAACACTGGTTCGTCCATGCCAGCATCTCTTGTTCTTGTTACCGAGTTTTGGGCATTGGGTTTTTTGAATTGTTGAATCAGCAGTAGGTTTTTGACAATGGAAGGTAATAAGGATGAAGCGTTGAGGTGTGTTCGAATTGCCGAAGAAGCAATTGCTTCCGGCAACAAAGGGCGTGCGTTGAAATTTATTAAGATAGCACAACGGCTTAATCAGAATTTGCAAGTTGATGCACTTTTGGTTAAGTGTGAGGCGATTAATTCGGGGTCTTCCGCATCTTCTGTTGATGAGAAGAGTGCTAGTGAGATTAGGAAGGGGGCCGGTGTGGAAAAGTTGGACCGCGGTTTGAATGGGGAGGTTAGTTATACAGAAGAGCATATTCAGTTGGTTAGGAAGATTAAGAGAAACAAAGACTATTACGCAATTCTTGGCGTGGAGAAGACTTGCTCGGGTGAGGACATTAGGAAGGCTTATAGGAAATTGTCACTGAAAGTTCATCCTGATAAGAACAAGGCTCCTGGTTCAGAAGAGGCTTTTAAGATAGTGAGCAAGGCTTTCAAGTGTTTGAGTGATGGAGATTCGAGGAGGCAGTATGATCAGACTGGACTGGTTGATGAATTTGAGTACAACCAGCAGCACAATAATATGAGGAGGAGGAGGAGAGGTGGGAATGACTTTTTTGACGATGATTTTGACCCCGATGAGATATTCAGGGCGTTCTTTGGTCAATCAGACATGTTTCGGACAGGTCGTGTTTATAGGACTAGTAGACCAGCTGGCCATCAGAGGGAGGAGTCTCAGGGAGGGGGACCTAACATCATGCTTCTTGTTCAAATATTACCATTCTTGGTAATTGTGTTGTTAGCATATCTGCCCTTCTCGGAGCCTGTCTACTCATTGCAGAAGAATTACAACTACCAGATTCCCAAGACGACAGAGAAATATGGAGTGGAATTTTTTGTTAAATCGCAAGCATTTGATGAGAGTTATCCTGTTGGAAGTGTTGCTCGAGATAACATAGAGAACAGCGTTATCAAGGATTACAAAAATGTGCTTGTACACTACTGTCGGGTTGAGCTTCAAAGGCGTCACTGGAGTAAGAATCTACCTACTCCTCACTGCGACAAATTGAATAACCTTGGAGTAGCATGAAGGTTAGATATTTTATTTTTCAAAAAAGAAAGATCTATAACTTTTGCTTGTTCATTGTCTGCTTGATTAGAACACGTCTTCCACTGTCCTAACCTTAGCTTTTTCTGAATTCAGCCTACTGGTTGAATTATCAACTTAAACAGTTGCCTTGTAGCCGGGTGCTGAATCCTCATCTTTTTTAAGCAGCTTTACCATGTGGACCTATTGTGTGAATTGCATGATCCTCTACGGGAGTTTAACGTTGCTCTTTCCTTTTCGTGCTGTGTGTTTTCAGCACAATTCATATTCAGCACAAATTATTGACCCCTACTTATTTCTCAGCAACCGTGCAGTTTTGAAATTCAAGTCCTTTGAAGCATAATTCATGGACAATACGTAAGTTGCAGTGCCAAACACTAAAATCAGTTTTCCGTGTTTGGGTACTTTGAGTGCTTTCGTTTTAGTGTAGAACCGTAGATCCTTCCCAGCCTTGTTTCTAACCCTGGCCAAAAATGTTAATTTGAATCCTTGTGTCTTGTTTCTTTGTTGGTTGGTAATTTGGTATCATATTTCAAGTTAACCATTTAACGACATTCTGTATTTTGACTTTTTATTAAGCAGAGGCTATACGGCTGAAGTGGACCATGTCAAACGTGGACTCAAAGTACAGCTGGTTGATATTGTAAATGCTCCTGTCGACTTCTTTGGAAGTGACCAAGGATTGCATATCCTCTCCGATATTACTAGCTGGCCACACAGCTGTTCGGGAATGTGGTCCAGGATAGTGGTAGCGAGGGTTTTCAGCACCCGAATGGCATATCATTTGGCTAGAAATAACAGTGTACACAACTCTTGAAATAACCTGTGAGGTCAATACCAGTTACGAAAGTTTATGAAAAGTTGAGCAATTGGTTTGTGATAGTGATTATTTCCGCTTTAAAACCCTACAGTTTTCTTTGTATTCTTTTTATCAGACTATGCAGTTGCTGTTTAGTGTTTCCTTTTATTTGGTTCAGATAGAAAGCATGTCTGTATGCAAGTAGCGATCCGTGCAACTTAAGCATCTGCCCTTATTGTTAGTTATTTGTTGTTTCGAAGAATTTATATCGTTTCTTGCGTCTTTTTGAGTGTGGAGGAAACTATGTTGCTTTGATTTAGCACTATTGTCTTATGTCAGTGTCATAGAGTTGTTAGAGAACAGTTTAATCCTCACTGTCGCGGACTCCTGGCTCCGTGTACCGCATAGACGAGTCCTCCTCCTCCGAGTATGCATGTGACATGTATAGCGCAAGAGTCTGCTTGCCTTGGACTTGTTCAGGGGATCAAAACAGAAGGGCACTAGTGTCCTATGGATGAGTAAGAACATCTCTAAGACTAAACCCAACCCTGGGCTAAAAGCCAAATTTTCACATTTATTCCCCCCGCCCCCCGAAAACTCAACCCAACCCAACCCAACCTATAAAAGCCAAACCCAAGCCAAATTCCACCCAAAATTTAGCCCATAAATCAACGTGGGCCCCACCAGTGCACTTGAAATCGGGCGTTTGTGCGCCACACCCCCCCCACCCACTAGCTAAATGCACGCGATGCGTGAGCTATCAGCCTGTCGGCCACGTTCCCTAGGCGCTCCAACGACTCTATTGATCCGACGGATGGAATCGACAGGCTGTTGGTTGATCCAACAGCCTAGATTCAAACTTTTTTTTTTTATATATATATTTATATATTTGTTGAATCCAACGACTGAGATCGAATATAATCAAATATAATGGTGATATATATATATATATATATATATATAACAGCCCAAATTTAAATTCAATGGCTAAAATAATTAAAAAAAAATATTTAACTTAAAATTCACCCAAAAACTCTATAAATACCTATGTATTTGTTCAAACATTCACACAAAACTCACTTTTCTCCTACAATTCTTCCAATTGTTCTTTCTACCATTTCCAAATTTTTCAAGATGACAAGAGAGCATATTAGAGGTCGTAATTGGACCTGTGAGGAAGATGTTACTTTATACTTGGCATGAGTTTCTATTAGCGAAGATGGTGCAGTTGGCACAAATCAAAATAAAAAATGTTTTGTGGGATAAAATCATTGAAAAGTTCCATGAAAATTGCAAAGGCGGGACGGAAGGTGGTGGTGTTTACAATCAGTGGAAGACTATCAACAAAGCATGCACTTTATGAGAGGGAAGCTTGGAGAGAGTCATGACTGACATGGCTAGTGGAAAGAGGGCCGCAGAAATTGTGAGTTTTTTTGTTGATATTTTATTTGTCATGTACATAATATTATTTTGCAATTAATTGTTTTTATGTATTTTTTGCATAGGGAGACAAAGTAATGGTAATTTACAGGACAAGAGTAACAGCAAAAAATCAACCTTTTACGTTGCATCATGCTTGGTGTGACATCCCACATCGCCCAGGGGAGTGATCCTTAAATGTATATTCTCATCCCTACCTAGCACGAGGCATTTTGGGAGCTTACTGGCCTCGGGTTCCATAGGAACTCCGAAGTTAAGCGAGTAGCGCGCGAGAGCAATCCCATGATGGGTGACCCATTGGGAAGTTGCTCGTGAGTTCCCAAAAACAAAACCGTGAGGGAATGGTAAGCCCAAAGCAGACAATATCGTGCTACGGTAGTGGAGTCGGGCCCGGGAAGTGGTCTGCCCCGGGCCGAGATGTGACAATTGGTATCAGAGCTTAACCCTGGCTGTGGTGTGCCGACGAGGATGTTGGGCCCCTAAGGGGGGTGGATTGTGACATCCCACATCGCCTAGGAGAGTGATCCTTAAATGTATATTCCCATCCCTACCTAGCACAAGGACTTTTGGGAGCTTACTGGCTTCGGGTTCCGTATGAACTCCGAAGTTAAGCGAGTAGCGCATGAGAGCAATCCCATGATGGGTGACCCATTGGGAAGTTGCTCGTGAGTTCCCAAAAACAAAATCATGAGGGAATGGTAAGCCCAAAGCGAACAATATCGTGCTACGGTGATGGAGTCGGGCCAGGGAAGTGGTCCGCCCCGGGCCGAGATGTGACACTTGGGACGTCCTCAAGGATTGTCCAAGGTGGGCAACCGATGCAGACCAACAATGGGGAAGATTATTTCAACGTGAAGTTGCACCGACAAATGATGGAGATGAAGGTGTCAATGAAGGTGTCGATGAAATGACCCCAACTTCTTCTATTGCAAGGCCCTCGGGAAGAGATAAGCAAAAGAAAGCAAATAGAAAAGGGAAGTCCCAAGAACCGATGAGTGGACACATTGCTATCGGATTTGCAAGATTGTTCGAAAGCCATAGCTTTCAGCAAGAATAAGCGGCCCGAATGTGTTTGGCCATGAAGGAAAAAGGGAATAAGGAGCAAGAGAGGTTCGAAATTAATTTCATGATGGGCACCAGAATATCAATACAAGGTAAATGGTAATATGTACGAGCTAGGTTACTACCTACTGGTGATATTTATCCTAGTTTGTCTACCTTTGTCAAAAGTTATTCTCATCCTGATAGTGCGAAGAAGAAATTATTTTCACAAAGGCAAGAGTCTTACAGGAAAGATGTGGAGAGAGCATTCGGGGTCCCACAAGCTCAATGTGCCATTGTTAGAGGGGTTGCACGATTGTGACATACTAAATACCTTCATTCAATCATGATGACATGCATAATTTTGCACAATATGATTGTGGAAGATGAGTACATCGAAATTGAAGAAGATTCAGATGAAGATGTGGATGATGACCAACCAACACATACAAGAGCTATGGCAAGAGATGTAGAATATCTCGCTGCAACCACATATGAGACCCAATAGGATAAGATCACATTGGGTGAGTATATGAGACATTTAAATAGAATTCAAGCTCCTCGAGGTCATGACACACTTCGCAAAGATTTGGTTGAGCATATATGGCGCCAAGAAGGTGAACATTGATGATGTTGGTGTATTAATGTGTTCTTGTGTTAATTTTAAATGTGCTATGTTGTTATTTTATGTAATAATTTTAAGTGTACTATGTTGGTATTTTCTAGTAATAAATTGAAGTGTTTTCTTGTGCAAAGTCTTTTGTCTATTACGTTGTCAAAATTATTGAATGTTGTTTGAATTAAAAATTTAGGTCAGAAGAGTTTGCGTAGAAAAACTGTTTCTAAGCTAAAAACTAAATTTTTTGGGCTAAAAATTTAGCTTTTAGCCCAGGGGTTGGAGATGGTCTGGGAGTACATGATATCTTCACAAATTTAGTCCTGAGTGAAAATGCATGGTTGCTACTTGCTACTGCTCATTAGAACTTCATCAAATGTTCAATGTCAGAAATTGAGATACCTCCCTGCTCGATTTCTTTTATGAGCTCGGGTCATCCTTATAAGTAGGGGTACGCACGTTAAGGCAAGAGTGGGCAGCTGCCGGTTCAGGGGCGGTCGACCATTCATTCCATTCAAGGTCTTTGGGTCTGAATTTTGATCACATGACTTTGTAATGTCTATATCTCACTTTCTCATCTTTCTCATCTAAAATTTTGTGATCCGTTCATTACTAACTTGATATCAATCTCTTGTCTCTTGGAAATCCGTCACTCAAATTTGGCCTAAAAAGGTTATAATAGTTGAATTTGCCAAACCTGGCCCCTGCAAACCCTGCACATATTCATGTTGGTCCACTGCATCTGCATCTGCATATGCTTAATTATAATATAATACAAAGAAGGAAGGATCGTTTGCTTATTTCTCCGCCATTTTTTAATTTTGTATCATGTTCCCACTTCACTTTCTTCAGGATAGATACACAAAGATTGCATCCCAAATTCTTCACTACTTAACCTATTAAACATAAATATAACTACAAGATAATTTATTAAATATAAATATAATTACATGACTAATGAAACTTATTACTTAAAAAAGAAAATTATCAATCTTGAGCCCAATGCATCTAAAAGTAAATTAGATCAAATCAAAAGGAGCATTCGCAAAATACTTAGTACTACGGTCAAGTTATATTCTTTTTCATTTGTAAATGAGAAGTCTTAGATTCAATTCTCACAAAAACGAATTTGAATTACATTATTATTGGCCTAATGTAAAGTTAAGCCCATTTCTCTCTTCCTTAATATAAATTATTATTTGTTATTTAAAAAAATAAATAAATAAAGAGCGTCCACATGTCGACGTGAAAGAATGAATAAGGGAGGTAATTTTTGTCCACCATTTTTCACTTTTGAACATGGATTACATTATTACTGGCATATTATGAAATTAAGCTCATTTATCTTTTCCTTAATATAAATTATTGTTTCTTAAAAATAAAAAAATTAAAAAAATAAAAAGCGTCCACATGCCCGCGTGAAAGAATGAATAAGGGAGGTAATTTTTGTCCACCATTTTTCACTTTTGAACATGATTTTTTAATTGAGCAATCGAACAAATTAAATAAAAATCAAAAGCTAAAATTCAACCAGAGTGCATAAAGTAAAAACGGAATGTGCAGAAATCACTCATTTCAACAAATAAGGCCATAAAGTACGGAGCGAAGATGGCAGGCAAGACGCTCCTCGCACCGACACTGTCCCTCAACTATTTTAAATGATCAAAATATCCTCATGTTATCACCCTGAAATTCCATTCGTCACCTCGTTATTCCCTCTAATTACAATTCAACCCCACCCCCAAGCCAGGTTCATTCATACATGAAAAGAAGTTTGAGTACGTACCCCAATACTAATACTCTTACATCCCCTCTAAGCTGTATAATTAACTGTAATACACAAATACAAGCATTAAAACTCGGCCGGATTCACGCCGTAACTAATCATCCCCGTCGTCGCCGCCGCCAAAGATCGAAACCCTATTGTAAAGAAGGAATATGACGAGGACGAGAAACAATGCAACCCCAACCGGCGAGCCACTGACTCTGTGGATGGTGTCGGGCTCCCCGGTCGAGAACAAGGAGGAGACGAATGAGCCGCTGTCCGATGACAGAAACTGAATGGTGAGTAGGAGAATAATGGGGAGAAGGAGAAGACCCAACGGGCTCAAAAGCTCGGAGATACCTTCGGTAATGGCCTCTCCTTGGTCACCTAGAAAGTACGGCACCATGATCACCGCCACGACCACCACAGCTAGCAGAATCCCGTGGGGGGGAGTTCCGGCTGGCCTCTCTTGATCTATCATTTTTGTGTTTGTATTTTCTGTTATGACTTTTGTGTTTTTGGTTTGGTGGGTTGGAGGGATTAAAATAGGGTTGGCTGTGACGCGTTTGCGTGAGGAGCGTGAAGGAAGTGCTTTTGAAAGGAGTGCTTGGAGAACGAGAAAGTTGATGTGTTATTTATTATATGAATGCTATTTGGGTTCCGATTCGGAGATCTAAATTTGAATTTTTTTATTTTTTTTATTTTTATTTATTTGGGTGGATGACGATGATAAGGGAGGGCAGCAATCGAAATTCAAATGGAACTTTCTTTTTGTACTTTGGTTAGAAAGAAAAGGAACGAATTATTTTTAAATCTTAGTTTGTTAGAAAAATAAAAGGACCGAGTTATTATTTTGGTCACTATAGTTTTAGTTTGCAACGATAATTTTATCGAGATGTTTGACTAAATTAAGTTATTGGGCGCTTAAATTACAATATAAAATCACGAAACTTGAAACGGTATGGATCAAAGTGAAACTTGACCAAAACAAAGAGAAAAAATAACGTAAAAGCCAAGGGACATATTTTTCTGGTCAGTTGTTAAGGGGACATGGTTTTAGACTATTTTTCTGTGTGGTAAGAAATTCTCGGAAAAAGAAATGGATTTATTTTGATTTTATACGCCGGACTCTGATAAATGGTGTTCGACAAATGTGAAAAGTTTAAAACATGTGTGCTTTTTTGTCAAACCGAGTCCGTTTGTGGAATTGTGAAGATACATAGAAGAGGATCGACGCGTTAAGGAATAAGGACTAGGAACTTAGGAAGGTACCAGCTGAGTGCAGGCTGCAGCCACAACCACAAATATTGGGCACACAGCTTGCCATGTTGGAGTCACATTCAAACGAAAGTGCTGGGAACTGAGAAGTGAACATGGGAATTAAGAGCATCGAACTTTGGGATTTGCAAGTTTTACGTAAATTTTTTTTTATACAAGCGATATTTGTGGATGGAGGAGTCGAACATTGTTGAATTCCACATCGGCCGTAGAAAAAGAGAAGTAATAGTTTAAATATTCTAATTTCATTCTAACTAACATCGAGGTCTTTTGTGATAACATTACACTTGACGGATTGTGTATGTGATAATTACCAAATTGGAGTTGTTGAAGCTGGACCTTCAACTCGCCTCTATGATAACATTTCACATAACTAGAGTTTTGCCTAGTCGAATGTAAATCAAACGTTAGGCTTTCACTACTTGGAAATAAACCCTAACCACAAAGGCTGAAATGCAGCTATTATTAATATATTTGAATTTAATTTGTTCAAAATACAAAAAATAATCTTGAATTAAAATTAAAAAAAAATACTGTTCAAAGCAGCATGGGCTACCACATCATAATGACAGTGGGATCATCAAATATTTGGAAAATCAAATGCCAATTACACTGCCCACGTCTTTTTTTGTCAATAAAACATTCATTAAAAGCCAAACAAGACATCCCAAAACAAGAAGATAATTACAAAGGCTCAAAAGTAAGCATAAACAGAAAAAGTAAAGCTCGCCTCAGCCCACAACAACACAAAATAGAAAACCCTAAATCTAGCAAGCAACACAGCAGCCGCACCTCTATCCGGTACATCGCAGCCGCACAGCCATCCGACCAAAATCCATAACCACCGAAGAGAACCCTGTAAACGGAAGAGCCAAAGGCACGAACAGAAAATGGAAATGAACTAGCCATCCGTGCAAAAAGCGCTTCCATAATCCAACCAAATCTTGCAACTTGCACTTTAAATGCAGCTTGGCACCAAAAAGCACCATTGAGCAAGATTCTTGACGGAGGCAGCCGTTGATCCGAGAAGCGTAGAGTAGTGGTTGAGAAATAAAAGAAAGTTGAAGTTATATCATAAAATTAATTGGCAATATGTAAAATAGTTCAATTACATATAAGTATATGCAAGGTTTCTCAACAAACTCTTTTACGTGTGACGAATTTTCAAGCCTAGTACTTAGACAATACGAGAGCACGTGTGGTCGTGGGTTTCACATATGAGACAACATGCTCTGATATGATGAAAAAAGTTAGAGTTTCATCATAAAACCAACTGATAATATAAAAAGCAATCCAATTACTTATGAGCATATTCAAAGTTCCTTATTTCCTTATGAAACTCATACTCTCAACAGCCTTTGTCAACGGGCGAAGGAGGGGGCCAGAACAGAGGAGGGACAAGAGAGATGAAAAAAAGGGAGACGAGACAAAGAGACGGTGGTGGTGGGTGGAGAAGGAGAAAAAGAAAGAGTAGAGATATAGGGGTTCAAAAATTGGGGCTTAAAAGAAGGGACACCAACTGAAAACAAGAGAACAAAAGCACAAATTTGAGACGTACGAGTGAAAAGGTGGCACCGACTCTCAATGCGAATGAAATAGCAAACCACAAAGTTAGGTTTTTGGCTTGAAGGTATACGGTTACGGTTAACTTTACTTTCTCAATGTAGCACTTAATAGGCCCTTTTTTGTTTCACGAAGTCATATCGAAGGAACATTTTCTTATAAAATCTCAACTTCTAGATATAGATAGAAATAAATATCGACCTATAACGACAAAAAAAAGAAGAAAGAAATGAATAACGACCTATAACATCAACATGAAAGTAGAAAGTAATCTCATCTAATGCCGTATAACAAAAAAATAGAGATTAACTTGATAGTTTGGCAGATAAAATGATCAATAGTGTTACAACACAAAACTTTTGAAAAATAAAAGACGAGGACCAAATTATTACATGCCTTAATCTGCAAAAATGAAAATGTAATTTACCTAAAAAAAAAGATTAAATAAAGTGAGCTTGATTTATTGCTTTTATCATTTTCAACCGGGAGCTTTGATATGACACTGGCTTAGCTACTTGCTCCTAATTTTTCGTATGGCCCCAACTGACCTTTTAATTTGAGCCAGGCTTTAGACTGAAGTTTCTGATACCATTCTAGTCCAGTCTAGGTCCAACTGAAAATGGTCAGAGCCCACCCCTGCCTGGCCACATATATTTTGGAAAGGAGTAATGTTATTTTTTAAGATTAAATTTATAAAATATGTGATGTGTTAAAAAAAAAAAAAAAAAAAAAAGTACGTTAATCAATACTTAAATAATATTTTAATCATTAATAATCGTGTCATATGATTTACAAAATATGATTTATATAAGTGGTCTCCTTAACATTCCATAATGCTAATTAAAACCATTCACAGATCAATGCTAATTAATATTTTCATGTGTTTCTGGGATCATTTCTGGGAAGGAATTGTTAATCATGTTATCATGTGGGCTTAATTAATCACTGACTGTAACTCTTCTTCTATCAATGAAAACCTTAAACCTCATTGCTTTTACTAAAACAAGAACATAATCAATGAGATTAAAGATATTTGAACTTGAAACATTTTAGAAGTTCAAACATTGGGTATAGAAGTTTTAATGATAGATAGCATAAAAGTAGTGGAATTCGAACTCGGGTGTGCATGAGGGAAGACTATATATATCAACTTTAACCAATGTGATTGCGCTCACATGAGTTTCATATGTATAGTTAGGAAATGTAATTCCTCCAATTGCATATTTAAGGACTTTTTTTTGTACAATCAACATTCTACGTCAAATTTATTTAAATTGTAGGAATGCGAATTTCAATTTAAATGCAGAGAGAAGAACATACTACTCCAATTGACTTGAATAAATTCAGGTCTACCATATTTAAAGACTTTATAAGAGTCACAGATCCACTATGTTTGCTATGATTGAAAACGAAAGATGAAAAGTGATTAAACTGATGAAATGTTGATGAAAGAAATGCAATAGTGTATTTTGAGCAAATATTGTAAAATATAAAAGAAAGAAAAATCACATCCTTCCCAAGTTGTTGATTTGGAAGATGCATGTGATTGTGATTGCAACTTCTATTTTTTTTGAAGCTAACATTTACGTTTTGTGCCCGTGACAGACAAAGTGTCCAAATCCAATCTGTGCTATAGCGACCTCTTTTAGTCTTAGACACCAATTCAATATAAACTAAACTAATTATATGATAAATCACGGACTTAATAATCGATTGGACATTTTTTTTTTTGTTAAATAATAATTGGTTAACTTAATATGCAAACATTTGACAAATAATTCACGAAATCTTCATAGAATATAATTCGAGGTAGAACTGACTTATACAACCAATTCTCAACTTTATAAAAGATGTGATTAATAGCGTGATCTACGTAAATTGGGGATCTGGTACTCGTTGTTTTGATTTGTTTCTTATTTCGCTCACTAGTAGCTTGGGGATGGGGTTGTGCAGCTGCATGGAGTCATGTCCCTTTCGTGACAGCTTCAACAATGCAGGCCTTCATCACACCAAATACGAAATTGAGGACCCAGATTTTAGGCGGACATTGAAATTTGGAATATGGTTGCCGTGCACTCGCATGTTAATACAAGCATATTTTACCGTATTCAGGCAAAGGACTTGCATACATGCATCTCTGGAGAGATGTCACTGCGGCACATTCAACTGATAGTATAAACTATAAAGTTATAGTTAGGTCTATAACTCTCAAGATTTCATAGGGCTTAAACTAGTAAAAGGAATCTTAACCTGGCTTAACCTGGCCAAGTCTCTGAACTAATCATTCTATCAGCAGAATAAAACGATCTCAGTGGAAATTCAGTAAAGAATAAAATATAGGCTATGTTAGGTAGATTAATTTTTTAGACGTAAATTATGTAATGTGTTCAGATGCAGTGGCAGATATACATTGGACCAAGGTGGTCCTGGGTTCACGTGGAGTTCGAAATATATACATGTAAAGGTCTTTTGAGAACCTTTTGGATGTTTGGTACGATTCCCTTTTGTGTCTACCAAGTGTTTGATGTAACATCTGTTAGGCATATCTCGGCAGCATTGTATCGATGACACTCGAAATATTCTCCTGAAAGCACTCATCAGATCGCTTTAGCATATGTCGATATTTGTTAATATGTGCGCGACATGGTTTGACTGACGACAATAAGTCTACCAAGTGATCAACAAAATTCCTCAACGAATAAATTGAAATTTTTTTGCGCACTTCACGCTCTGTTTCTATTAAAAAACTTAAATCTTTAACATTGGACCCTCCAATGTTCGAATTTTGGATACGCCACTAGATATGTTATCAATAGAAAATAAACATGTTAATCAACACTTAATAATAATTCATTCATCAATAACAACATTATATAATTTACAACATATAATTTAAATAATTGATCTTCTTAGCAGTACCCTAAAAGATAGTAAAAGTTTGTTAATCAGAATCAGATGGTCTGGCGCACATGACATGGCCTGTTCGGCCCGTTCTGACAAGTCAATATGCTATCTGTGATTCCGTAGTGCACCATTGTCAATTCACGCCAACGGAGAATTAGTACAATTTGCTGCACTCTTCTGAAACTATTAGCAATTGTATTATTAATTTCCTATTAAATTCTAAGCTGGTTTCTAAATACTTATCTTCTCATTGTTAAAAAAAGTTTAAGCTCAGTTCTCTCGTATTAATCAACAGTACGGTCTCCACAATTTCTCGTGCTATAAATTGATACATGTCAAAGTACCCCCTTCGAATAATTAAATACTATAGAAGTTTTCTTGGTAAGTTGTGTAACAATGTAACGTGTTTATATTGTTAAGTTCTAAAATAGGACTATCAACCAGGTTATATAGTTCTCGTTTAAACGAGCAATACAGTTTCATAGTTTGAAAAACAAATATTCGTCACACAATATAAGTTCGATGAGAGAATACTACCAATATTATGTACAATCAAACTTGGTTTAGGTTGCTTGTGCAAAGCAAAGATGGGAGGGGATGGGGGGTTTGGGTTAAGAAATTTCTTAGGACGTGTGAAAGGTGACCACAAGAATGATGTTTTCTTTTATCATCTTTCCCTCCATCAATGGTGGCAACGGTCTACTTTTTGTCTTCTGCAGCAAGCAAACAAATTTGAGGGTCCATTGGAGCCTGGAACTTCCTGGATCAAAGTCACGGGAAAAAAAAAAAAGGATCCAAATTTCAACCTCCACAGCGAAGGAAAAGACTCAACTGACACTACTATTTATATACTAAACATTCAATCTCTCTCTCATCAACGATCTTTTGATTGTACATCCATGTGTAGTATACGACATACATTGTCTTGTAAGTGAATCACATCCACTCGTTAACGACGTTAAGTTTCCTTGAACTCTTGAGCGCACCTAAAATCGTTAAACTCTACAGCGTATGTCAAGCAGTAATGTACTCTAGAATAATTAGAGCCTATTGTTGTCTCATTCATCTCTCCCGCCCTTATCCTCTAAGGCAATACTCTTTCTTCTCTTAAGAAATCAGACTTGGAAATGGAAGCCAGCTCTTCTTCTGCTTCGATGGTTTTGGGGTCGGTTTCATCCCACGATCAAGAGAGACTGAACTTGAAATCCATATGGGGGGTTGTCGTTTCGGTCAACAACTTCATCCACAAACTCATATCAAATGCCAAAACCAGAAACTCTATCCGGATGAGATGCGCCACCAAGTTTACCACTGCTAGAAAACACAAATTCTTTGAGTTCTCTGAGCAGTCTGTGTTATCGAATTTTTACTGGGGCATTGACAGCATCGAAGCCGCAATTCAAGAAAAGTGTTTGGATGAGAAAGCAGCTCTGCTGAAGAAGGCAGAGCAAATGCTGCAGGTTCCCGCGCTGCTCGACGAGCACGGTGTCACAGCTGGAATTCACAACCGGTATTTGGTCTGCTGCTCTTACTTTTACCTCTCATTGGTCAGGAAGCTCCAGGAGGACGAGTGGCAGGTTGCGCTGCATTTCCTGCAGGCAGTGCTGGTGTCCCCGGGGCTTGTTCAAACAGAATTCGCACCCGAACTCTGCGAAAGGCTCTTCCCATCACGCACCGCCAAGTGTGGGAAGCAAGCAACAAGGGGGAGGGGGAACGCGGGGTCAAATTTTCCCTACGTGGAACAGGAGGAAGATGAAGCAATAGGGCGGATGGCGAGGGTGTGGAGAGATTGGCTGATGTATTATCAGGTCATGTTGTACGGAGAGACTCCTCGGTGGGAATGTGACACTGAGCCTCAATATTCTATGTGAGTACTTCTCGAGTATATTTGGATGTTAAAGGCCTTAATTATAACTAAAACTGAATAATCACTCCTTGTAACAGGCATGAAAAATCTACCAGCTCGTTTTCTTCGAGTACAATTGAGCACTGGGAGGTAAGCCTAATATCAATGTCTAAATTCAACACGCGACACAAGTTCGAAAGATTTTCTCTTACGCACTTTCTGTAGAAGTTTGGATCAGAAAAACCCTTTTGCATATTATGTTTAATTTGTTTGCTGTGATGCCATGTAAAGGTGCACCCTTTTGATCCTCGAGAGGATATTGGCGGTGGCATGGGAGATGAAATGAAGACTTTTTCCATCTACATCCGGGAATTTGAAGAATATGAGAAAACTGCAAAGGATTTAGATCAAGTGACTAGTTTTAATGTCGAGAAGCTTCAAAGGGGCTCCAGTATCAAAAGACTCCACGATATGTTGAATGACTCGCAATCTGATATGCGAACTTCAGTGGGTTCATGCTCCGATTTTTCTGCTTATGACATTGAGTCAGAGGTTTTCTTCGAAAGACATTACTATCTTAACAAAATTTAGTTACTACAATAAACCAGTAAGCTTTCGTTTTAAGATTTCATAATTTCTTTGTTTCGCAGGTCATGGATTACGGTGAATGTTCACTGACAACCACAAGAAGTAGTGCAGATTTTCCCAGGTCAGAAATTTGTGACTGGTTAGTTCATACTCTCAAATCTACCTATTTTTTGTTTTGTTTTTCTCTTTTTTCAGAAGTAGAAAATGCGAGTGTAAAGGTCACCACCCAAAATCTAATGATAGAACTCAATATATTGTACTAATTTACAAGCCCTGACTGTACAGGAAGCTGCAGGAGTCAGTGCGTAAAGAAGTCCTGGAAGTAAATAACTCTGCGTTACTTGCCAGTGGATTCGCCAGTTCAATCAAAAGTTTAAACTTAACCCTGTTTGAACACAGAGATAAAAAATCAAAGACCTTTCGGCAGCATTGTATGATCAACCAGATGGATCACCAACAGAGTGGTGCACGAAGAAAGCATAATTTTCGTGGTCACGAAGTAAGTTCACACCCTGCAAAAGACTCCAAAAGTGAACTATTTCATATGACCGAAAAGGCAATATCAAAATTATTGTACTCGGAAGGATTAGGAAAATGGGAGGAAGATCATGTTGTAGAAGTGACAACAATATACGAAATATTGGGTGAAAAGAACGGAGAAAACTGCGCTGTCTTGAAAGACATGATCTTGGATCAATTGCTAGCAGGCATTTCTAGTTCGACAGAGGACATTGTTATAAGGGCATCAATTTCGATACTAACCAGCATTGCTGCAGCAAATAAGTCGGTTATAGAAGATGTCAAGAAGAAAGGTCTGCAGCTGTCTGATCTCGCAAGTGCTCTCAAAAGAAATGTGCAGGAGGCAGCAGTACTATTTTATTTAATGAATCCAACTCCTGCAGAAATTAAGACTTTCGAACTTTTACCTACATTGGCGGGGATCATGTGCACTTCGAATAGTTACAAGTGTAGGTCAGGATCACTGCCATCTCCAATGACAGCATGCCTGATGATTACTGAAATTTTAGTAACTGCATTCGACCATGCCACGAACAACGTGCACTTGGCTGAGATCAGTTCTCCTAATGTTCTTGAAGGGCTCCTAGATGTTGCAAGAGACACCAACATTGAAGAATTGATCTCCTTGGCAACTATTCTTGTAAAATGCATACAATATGATGGAGATAGCCGAAGATATATATCGAAATTAGCTCCTGTGGCTCCATTTGTCCGGCTTCTGGAAAGTAACAACAAGCATGCCAAGTTCATAGCACTCGAATTTTTCCATCATGCTCTTTGCATGCCACGGTATGAAAATATTCTTCAAATTCCAATAGATTTTATGACAACAATTCAAGTCATTTAAAGTTTGTGAATGAAATCAAGAAATGTAGAATTTTAAATAATTATGAGGCTGTCCAACATCAAATTCTAATTTTTCAGGTCATCAACGATTACCTTGCTGAAGAGGCTACAACGCGAAGGAAACACGAACATTATGAACTCACTCATGCTGTGTATCAAACAATTTGAACCCGAATACCAAGTTTTGGCAGCAAATTTGCTGCTTCATTTAGATACACTAGTAAGTAGAACAAATATCATCAAGCTATGTAGGAATCTAACACAACACACACTCCTATTGACAGCGAATGAATATGTGCAGGATAACTCCACTTGTAAGAGTATATTCAGAGAAGAAGCAGTGCAGGTTCTTCTCAAGTCAGTGGCATCTGAAGAAAGCTGTGGTGCACAACAATTATCTGCATTCATTATATCGAATCTCGGTGGAACATATTCTTGGACAGGAGAACCATACACAATAGGATGGTTGGTTAAAAAGGCATGCTTGACTTCCTCGTATCAACGAAACATGATCAAGAACATTTGTTGGTCGGATGATTGCTTAGAGGTGAGCCTTGAACTCGAATGTGTTATAATATAAACTACGATCAATCAATACAAAATGTGCCAATAGAGAAAATTGCACAAATTTACAGGATGCTGGAACAGACACATGGTGCAGCAAAATTGCCAGAAGCATCATTAACATTGGGAATCCGGTTTTCCATTCGCTAGCAAAGGGCCTAAAGAGTACAATAAGGAGTGTTTCAAGGGATTGTCTAACAACTGTTGCATGGCTTGGATTTGAAATTGTGAAGAGTCCAGAGAGCGTAAAATTTACTGCTTGTGAGATCTTGCTTAGCGGAGTTGAGCAATTTTTGCATCCCGGAATGGAGCTAGAAGAAAGAGTTCTAGCATGTCTCTGCATATACAACTATGCTTCTGGTAAAGGTAATGCTTCTCATTTGTAACTAAAAAGCACGAGATTGTCAAGTGTGAACGTTCAACGAGTAGCACATGTTTATAATTTCAGATTGGTAACATAGTGAAGAACACAGTTCATTCTATGCAAACTCAAATGGTTTGATCATGTAGGGATGAAAAAATTAGTTCATTTCTCGGAAGGAGTGCGAGAATCACTAAGACGCTTGTCGAGTGTAACATGGATGGCGGAAGAATTACATAAAGTAGCTGATTATGTTCAGCCATTTTTATCAGTAAGTACTCAAACTTTGTCTGCAGAATTACTCGAGAGCTTTCGGATTAGTCTGCCATCAGTCTATCCGGTGCAATTTCAGCGATTTCTTTTCCTTTTTGAAGTAGTGAGCATTACTAACAGATTTATATATTGTCTTTGTTGGAATCATTATAACGGTAAAGCAGCGTATTTCGTGTGTTCACACACAAATCCTTGAGGTCGGTGTCGGTTGCAGTGGAGCTGTATGTGCCCTCATCTATTACAAGGGATTTCTTTGCAGTGGATACTCAGATGGTTCTATTAAGGTATGATATTTTAAAATTATGTGCTTCAGACACTCGGTAATCATATAATGTATGCATATTCTTATTTCTTGGTGAAGAATCTACATCGATCAAACATTTTGAATATAATTTTATATGATGGCGCGATCATTTACGTGTCTGTGAGTTCATCCAACAGGTATGGAACATCAAGGGGCAATCAGCCACCCTTGTATGGGACGTGAAAGAGCACAAAAAGGCAGTTACGTGTTTTTCGCTTGTTGAACCGGGGGACAGCCTTATAAGCGGATCACTGGACAAAACCATTAGGGTATGGTAAAGTTTTGCAGCAGCGACACTTACGTTTCTTCACTTGGTATGCAATACAAAAATAAATTAAATTGCAAAATGGAACTTCTTTCTGCAGGTCTGGCAAGTGGTTCACAGGAAATTGGAGTGCATTGAGGTGATAGCAGCAAAGAAACCAGTTCAGCACCTTAATACGCACGGTCAAATGATATTTGCAACTACCAATGGCCATGGAATTAAGGTACTTACAATGCCACATTACTGACAAATCCATGGAAACTTATTACTGAATAAGTGTCAAGCTAAGAACGACGTATCTTTTTCCAGGTGTTTGATGCATCAAGAAAGGCCAAATATAATTGCAAGAGTAAAAGGGTGAAGTGCATGGCAGTGGTTCAGGGGAAGATTTTTGCAGGTTGCAAGGACTCAAGTATACAGGTCAGTTTAAAGGTCTTGTATATACTAAATCATGCGCTCGTGCTCTCGTTAAAACAACATTAAGTGACATCTCACTGTGTTTAGGAGTTTTCCATCATGAACAACCGGGCACAAGAGATCAAAGCAGCAAGGAAGTTCTGGAAGCTGCAAAAAAGGCCTATCACTGCAATTGTAACATACAAAGATTGGCTTTACAGTGCAAGTTCGATCGTGGAAGGTTCAAATTTGAAGGTAAGGATTACAATTGGAAGCCCACAGAGAGAGAGAGAGAGAGCCTTTCACTTGATTAAACTGTGTATAATATTCAGGAATGGAGAAGACACATCAGACCTCAAATGTCACTAAAAACCGGGAAAAGAGAACGAGTAAAGGAAATGGGAATAGTGGAAGACTTCATATACCTTAACTGCAGCCCAGCAACAAACTGCATTCAGGTAAGTGTACTCCGTTATCGCACACAAAATGTTCCAAAATGAAAATTTCAGCATGTCCAATTTTGTTGAGAAACAAACGCTTTGCGAAAACAGATATGGTTAAGAGGGTCACAGCAGAAAGTGGGAAGAATTTCAGCAGGAAGTAGAATCACCAGCCTACTCACAGCAAACGACATTATCTTATGTGGTACCGAGACAGGATTAATCAAGGTGTGCACATTAAACCCGTGTAATATAAATCATGCGTATCCATTAGTTAAGGACTAAACAGTTTTCTGTGTGTGAAGTTGAGGTTTACAAGGGTTTTTCATCCTAATTATGCTATAATTTGAAACTAAAACAGGCCTGGATCCCCTTATAGCATCAAATTCATCAACCAGCAGGCACGTACGCGAGAGCAAAGAAGGATGATGCTTCATGTTTATGCCTTGTTTTCTAGTTACGTTATATGTAAAGAGCTAAGCAGTGTGCAGCATTTAACGAAGAAAGAGAAATGTTGAGTCATTGAGTGTGCTATATGTAATATGTGAATGTTTGTGCATAGAATTATCTCGACTAATAGAATGCCAGAATATGTTCATCAATTGATAAATATGATTCAATGGAAAACAATCAAAACATGCCATTCAGGGTGATTATCCGTAATTCTAGTGGTTTTATGGTTAGAGCCTTAGAGGTAATGCCAAATTTTGTGATGCGTCTCACGGTATGAATATAGCGGATTCCGAGTCTCTATATTTAGTTGTTATGCATTTACGCGCATTTTGCTATATCTTAACCATTCTAGATGAGTTAAAATGTAACACATCATTTAACATTAAATTTAATTAGTTTATTTTAGGGTGTTTTAGAGAAAGGCCCTTGAAACTCCTACTTTCCAAACAAAAACCCACCTAATAGTAAATATTCAAATAAAACCCAAAATTCAAATAGACTACCATGTAGACAAATACGTAACCAATTATTACAACATATTTACAACTTATGCCACAAAACCCTAATTATGTCAATAAATATTATTACTCACCCTAATTATGATTAGCAATTAATATTGTTTGATAAAAAAACAAACCAATTAATATTCTTTATGTTGTAGCCTTGTAGGTAAATTAGTTTACATAGATTATTACATACATTAGACATTTTTTATTTGTTATTATATATGCGTGTTAAAAATAATTTATCTATATTTATATGTAAAATATAAGTAAATTAATTTTGAATCAAATAGCATTTATTTTGTAAGTAAATTAAAATAGTAATTACATTATTTTGGTCAAGTTAAACAGTGCCTAAATTATTTCTAAAAACTAAACCATGACATATGATCGCCATTAAAATGAAACAATAGATACATTAATATTTTATTTGATTAAACAATAGGTAAATTATATTGTAGGTAAATTATATTGTAGGTGAATTATTTGCACATTTTATGACACATCCCGACCCAAATTGTCCACTAGGACTCCGAATAGAGTTGTGTTGGCCGACACCTAGAATGTGACGAAGCCATAAAGTGTAGTGATGTGGAAAATGTGAATGAATTTAAACCTAAAAGTGCCTAAATACAAGAGTGTGTTGTGAGCGGGAAAGAACCCATTTCACACGTGACGTCAGAGCATAAGTAAAGTATAGTAGAGTGGATTGAGAATCATACCATCAAAGGTAATCTCCAATACCAAGATTTGCCACGAATACTCTTCGATAAGAAAGCTCAGCTATTAAAACCTGGAAGGGCAAAAAAAATAAGGGTAAGTGGGCCTGAAAATAAAGTAATTTTCATAAAAACCTTTTGAAAACGTTGTAGCCCCTCGCTGTAAAACCTGTATAGTTTCCAGAAAATCATACTACGTATAAGTATGAAATCAAATGCAAATCAACAGTAAATCCAGAAATATTCCAAATCACTACATATCAGCAGCATCATAATAAAATTAGGTGCTCATCAATCTATGCTAACATACGAGTCGAAGTTGCCTAAGGCAACCTATATTACTCATAAATCAATCTATGATAACACACAAGTCGGAGTTGCCTAATGCAACATGTACAACTCATAGGCAACCTGTACGACAGTGTTGGAGTTGCTTATTATTACAACCTGTACAACAGTGTTGGAGTTGCCTATTATTGCAACATGTACAACAATGTCGGACTTGCCTATTATTGCAACATGTACGACAATGTCGGAGTTGCATAAAACATAAATATAGTCATGCCATAACTCAATCATTTCAAATAACGTCATAAATTCCCCTGAACTTACTTGCGCGTCCCGCTTTCACCTTAGCACTTCCAAGCATTCACAACAATTATATACAGGTAATATGCATATGGATATGCCATGATGCAATCTAAAACTCAACCATATCATAGTATTTAAAATATATGACATGGTATAAAATGCATAAATCAATTTAAAAGCATTTGTGGAACTATCAATCATATATATACTATAAACAGGAAAAGACCCACTAACCTGAAGTCAGCGCTACAATTTTCTAGCACGAATATCGAGACGTCATGAACCATCATTGCCTAGAACAATTATCAAATAACGTCTCAGAATTCTTATCGATAGAACACGTAACTTACATAAAATACATCCCCAATGACATTTTAGAATGATTTGAAACCAATTGACCAAAAGTCAACCGTCGGTCAAAGGTCAACAGTAGGGCCCACAATCCTACGTAACTCAATCCAGAAGATTCACACTCAGATTTCCAATCCGTAACTTCCAAAGATCCACATTATGCTTCTAGAACATCATACTAAAATTTCATTACGATCCAACAGTTGGATCTCTGCCAATTGCTAGAATTAAGTGGTGGCTGACGTTTTATTTTACGAGCTTACAAATTCAGTTCGGGAAGATCCGTAGGTCAGATTCCTAATCCGTTAGTTCCTATTGTCCTCAAATATTACGTATTATAACGTATTAAAGTTTGGTGACGATCCAACGGTTGGATTGTCAATTCATATAAGGATCAAGTGACGGTCTCTATTATAACTATGTTCAAACGATGAAATTTCATCAATCGGACTTCACATATAGAATTGGGGTATCAAATTTAGCCTAGGAACGTCAGGGGATACCTCAACCCACGCACCGCCGCACGTGGCGGTCGGTCGCCCCGACTCGCCGGAAAATCCAACTATTTCCAAAAATTACCAAAATTTATAGGAATGAGATCTCAATGAGCAGAGCAAGTTTTATACATGTAGCCAAGTCTAATTTGGCTGGGAAATTCTCCAAATTGACTTAAACCCTCCGAAAACCCTTGATTTGGGTAGTTGTTGATTCGTCACCAAAACGAACTACGATGCCTCATCCAAGGCTTGGGCCTTGCTCCTAGAGTTGAGAGAAGTCTTTTGGCAGTGGTCATCAATGGTGAAGCTCGCCGGAGCCACCGGAAAAAGATTAAAGCCGTTGGAAACGTCGTGGGTTTTGTGGCTTTGAATTGGAAAATGGGAAAGAAATTGGGAAATCCAATACTACAAAGATGTAGGGTTTGTCAAGGGTTTTCCATGGACACCAAGATCACCCAAAATGGAGTTCGTGTGAAGGAGATATGAGCGAGTCAAGTTGGCGGGTCGGATGAAGAAACCAGGTTTGGCCGGTTCTCTCCTTCTTCCTTTCCCTCATTTCCTTTCTTCCTCCTTGGCCGGTTCCATTCCTCCTTTCTCTTCTCTCCTTCTCATCCCAACCATCCATTTCTCACTTCCTTTTTCAATCTCAGCAACACATGTGGAGCCTTCCACTTACTCCAGATTTTCTGGACCCTTCCACTTAAATGGTAAATTATCTATTTTGCCCTCCACTTCACTAGTTAATAACTCCTTCGTTATAACTCCATTTCATGAACGGTTTGCGCCTACGCGTTCGTGAGGTCAAGCACTATCCAAATATGTCAACAAACATGACAAAATATACAAGGATCAAATACGTCCTCGAAAAATTACGTTTTGCCCCCTAGGGCATTTCCATCAATTCCCTCAATTAAAATAAATAAAAACATAAATTTAGGGACGGATTGTCACATTTTATTCCTAATATATATTTGTGCAATGATTCACCTATATTATTATATAAAATATAGATAAATTTCTTTTGAATCTAATAACATTTCTTTAATTTTTTAAGTAAATTATTTTGCATGTATTATTATTGGACAAATTTTATATTGCCCTTTCAGATTTTCATTTGGCTAAGAAAATGACAAGATTAAATTAAAATTGTCAAATTTTATGCAAATTTGAAAAACAATTACGAAATCTTAAGGAAAGTATAACATTAGTGTTTTTTTTCTTTCCAGAAGCATTAACATACAATTTGTTATGATATTTCTTTCCCCGACCACGTCCTCACGGTTTTGTTTCTGGGAACTCACATAAGAATTTCCCAGTGGGTCACCCATCATGGGATTGCTCTCACGCACTACTCGCTTAACTTCAGAGTTTCTGCGGAACCCAAAGCCAATGAGCTCCCAAAAGGCCTCGTGCTAGGTAGAGATGAGAATATACATATAAGACTTAGAAGATCCACACTCATGGGAGTTCTCGTATGAGTTCCCAGAAACAAAACCGTGAGGGCATGGTCGGGGCCCAAAGCGGATAATATCGTGCTACGGTGGAGTTAAGCCTGGGATGTGACAATTTTTTTTCATTAATCCCTCTCTTCAAATCTGCATAGAATTTAATGTATACATTAAAACTGTAATTCGGGGTGTTTTAGGCATCTAAAAAATGCAAAATGTGTAAAGACAAATATAATTAATGAATTTGCCTATGTAGAGCCTAGTCATTGGGTTTTATTCAGGTAAAAAGACTATGTCGGGTTTTATGTAAACAAACTTGAGTTTCAGGGGTTAAAGTCATTTTCAGTTTATTTTATTTTTTGCTCCCTTTCCTAAACAGACCTTAATTAACCTAGTATAAAAAAGGAAACTCTAGGTTATTGAAAGAGGTTTTCGACGAACACATTCAACTTATCTTTTTAGTTTCTCTACACTCCGCGTGCTTTTATTTTATTTTTCTATTAAAAATTAGCATTACATAGCTTTATTCTTAAATTAGTTTTCAATTTCTACAAATTATTTTTCACACATAGAATAATTTTTATTTATTTGTACAATAGAAATTTTGTAATTTAAATGCGAGTATTATAATTTAGTTACTTATTAATTGAGCTATTTGACTAGTTCATTTGGGTCGATGCAATTCACCTTTTCATACATTCCATCTCACCGTATCAATCACCAAACTCTCTTCCATCTGTCCATTCACTCATTATATCTATATAGACAAAACCCATCTCAACGTTCACTTAACGCATATTCTAAAATCCTTGCACCCAAGGCACTGATGACCGTCATTCGAAACACATTTTTTCCTTGACCAACAATCATTTTGAAAGAAGTTAAACCAACGTGCAACTACAATCTTTGTTCGTCCAGCCATCAGGCCGGGAGTTGACACGCTCACAACAAATCAAGAATGACCAAGGGATCCTGAAGTCGCTGGCCCAATTGCCACTTGGTTGAGACCCATTTTGAGACTGACATAGTTTTCCTTTCAT